ATAATCTTTTTAATATGTTGCTGTATTCGGTTCACTAGTATCTTAATTAGGATTTTTGCATCTATGTTCATCAGAGATATTGGTCTGTAGTTTTCTTTTTTTGAGTTATCTTTACCAGGTTTTGATATCAGAGTAATATTGGCCTCATAAAATGGGTTGGGAAGTATTGTCTCCTCTTTGATGTTTTGGAAGATTTTGTGGAGACTAGGTATTAAATTTTCTTTGAATGTTTGGTAGAATTCACTCTTGAAGCCATCAGGTCCTGGACATTTACTTTTTGGTAGGTTTTAGATAAAGACACCCACTTTAGAGCTAGACTCTCAGAATTCAAATCTCACAACCATAGTTCTGCTCTTTACTAGCAGTTACTTCATTTGGGCTTTTACATAAATTTACTTTCGGCAATTACATACTCTCTCCATGCTTCTGTAAAATGATGATATTAATTGCACTTCTTTCATAGGATTGCTGCGAGGATTAAATGAGCTAGATGCATAAGTATTTACTATATTCCCAAGAGCATAGTAGGTGTATGTATGAATGATTGTATTTCTAAAATGGAATGTTAATAAAGTTTCACATAGGTAACAAAAAATAAAAATTTGGGAGGGAGCTACCTTTTAAAAATTAAAATCCTCTATCTGGAAAAGCATTTTGTATGGCATTTAGCTTATATCTTGAAAAATAATTGAATTATTCATTTCATTATTTAATATTTATTGAGTACTTGCCAAGTATGTAGCAATTCTAGGAAGACAGGTTTACATACCAGTGGAGAAAATAGTAACTAAGTGAACAAATAAATGCCCAGGGTAATTATTGATGTGATAGTACCTGTAGAGGAAGCAGCAGAAAGGCTTGGAATAGGGAAGGATTTGGTCTGTTGGTGGAACAGATGAGAGGCCTGGACTGGACTATGGTCACCTGGGAAGAGGCGAGGTGGGAGGGTGTGTGGGAGTTATATTTTGTAGGACCTTAGAGAATCTACTAAGGAGCTGGAATTTTTTTCTACAAGGAGTTAGGATTTCTTTCCAAAGAATATTTTGGAGGTAGATTTGGGGATTGAGGGGGAATTTAATCAGGAATGTGCTGAGTGAGATTTAAATTTGGGAAAGACGTTTTGTCAATTGCGTTGAATTGTTTTTTCTCATTGAAAATAAATTGGAGAGGGGCAGATGAGACCAAGTAGAAGATTCCAGGGAAGGCATGAATGGAGATGGGATGGATGGGGGCAGTAGAGGTGAAAAGTGGATGAAATCTAATCAAATCACACATACAGGCATACCTCAGAGATACTGAGTTTGGTTCTAGACCATTGCAATAAAGCAAATATCACAAGACAGCTAGTCACACATATTTTTTGGTTTCCCAGTATATATAAAAGTTACGTTTACACTATACTATAGTCTGTTAAGTGCATGATAGCATTATGTCTAAAAATATATACATGCCTTAATTAAAAAGTACTTTATTGCAAAAAAATGCTAACCACCATCTGAGCCTTCAGAGAATTGTAATCTTTTTGCTGTAGAGGGTCAATGTTTATGAAAATGAAATATCTAGAAGTAAAATAAAGTTAAGTGCAATAAAACAAGATATGCCTGTATTTATTTTGGGGTAGAATTGACAGGTATTTGTGATGACTTGGATGAGGATAGTGAGAGAAAGAGGAGAATCATTTTGGGCTATTATGTGCCATTTCACAGTATGCATGTATTCCCTCTATTATTAAGCCTTTTTTTTTTTTTATCATTTTAACATGAACCTTTTTAAAATTAAATTTTAGTACTATTTTAAAACTCATCTTCCTGATCTAGATTTTTTTTTTTTGCACTACAGCCAAATTGTGCAATCTTTTTAAATTTTTTCTCGTTTTCCTGTTTAGTGATGAGAACTTTCTTTTTCGATGTTTTTGGCATTTAATTGGGAGCATTTTATCTGTTAATTATTAAATCCTGCTGCTGAGGATTTAAACTCACCACTTGCAGAGTAGGTTTTTGAAATTAGATAGCTGAGTGTCATCCCTGCCCCAGGAGAGCACCAGTCTTTAAAGGCCTGCACCTCTTGAAGCAGCCTTCCCTTCTCTGCCCAGTCTACTGCCCAGGGTGAGGATGGCCAGGAACTGGGATGGTGGTGGGGCACCGGGAGTCCATTTCCTTAGCTCTGCCTGAGCACAGGCTCACTGTGTAACTCCACTGTTACTTTTAATATGTACTTTAGGTACAGTAAGTCAAGTTTGAATTTTTATGTTGTCACTTAGGACTAGTACACCTCTTTAGTAATTGGAGTTTATCATATTTTACTAAAATATGAGTTCTTGTGAATGTATTGAGATCAAACATTCTTTAGATCAAGCAAATCTGTTCAAATTGATGCATGTGGAATGAATTATTTTACTTTTTTCCTAAGAAATGAAGAAAAACTGGGAAGAAAATTCATTACACAGTAGTGCATAGATATTTTTTACAACTAATTGAGGAGCCAGAAATGCATATAAAATGTGAGAACTTCAGAAACATTTCTTAGATACAGACTATTATTAAATGCCCATGGATGTTTTTGATTCCCCATTACATTAAAATACTAGAACTTCATATTCCAAACATTTAAAAATAGCTCAATTTTAAAAAGATATAAAGTATTATCAGCTGTGCTTTTTGTACATAATTAACATGGGCCTGTGGAGGTATAATGACTTTTAGTGTAATGATATTATTCATGATAAAAAGTTCAGATGGTAATGATTGGAGCTACAGCTGGGTGACACATTTTTAAATAACTCAGAGATGACTCCACAGAGTGCATGCTACTTTAGTCTCTCGTAATCCCCCTTTCACTCATCAGTGAATTGTGAAGACACCAAAAGATTGTTTTAAAAATGCTTCATTTTCCCCCATTCTTAAAGATTTGACACGTGCTTACTGTTTCCTTTGGTGCTTGGCAGGCCACTGTGAAAGTACATCATCTTTTCCCTTCAGCTGAAATGGCTCAAGATTCAGGAGGCCTTTTTTCCGATTATCAGTTTTGGATGTGTAAGCTTTCTGTGTGGGGCCAGGCCTCCACTTTGGAAACCCAGCAAGACACCTGCCATCACCTGCCTCAGTTTCAGGAGTTCTTGAGGCAGATGTATGAAGCTTTGAAAGAGATGGTAAGTTGTGGACCAAAATTAATGAAGTTTTGTGACATCAGGGACTCTTTACCATATTTTACAAAGCCTGAATTTGATCCAAGGTCAAGGATTTGTGGTATTGACCTAATATATTGAAGGAGTAGAAAGACAAATTACCTGTAGGTAATACAGACAGAAAGTGGTTTCCTTGTCTCTGATTTATTGTGACTTCAGTCTTTCCTTCTTGATTATATTGTCACATGAGAGTTCCTGACCAATCAAGATGGTTTTAAACAAACAAGATTTGGATACATGTTGTTAGGTAATAATTGGGATTCTTTTAAGGGCCTTTGCATCTCAAACTTTTAAGAATTTGTTGAAATGCTTACCCTTTCCTCAACCCTATTTTAAAGTGGGCTCTACTAAGAGATGATAAATATTAAGATCTCTTCTTAAAAATATTTTAAGTTGTCTTTTCTGGTGAATATTAAGATTTTGAATGTCTTTACAATTGTTATATAGTTTATTGTGTTAAAAATTTGATATAATTTCATTTTGACATAAGATTTATTTTTGCAATATTTTATAAATTAACATGTTTTCATATTATAAAAATATTTGTTTTATACTTACTGTCTAACTTAAAGATAAAAAAAATGATCATTTAATATAGCCATTCTTGTGTTATACTTTTATTCCTTTGTCAAGGAAGCAAGTAGGAAATTTGAAGAATTATTCATGTTGATGATATGGGTTACTATGTCTTTAGAAACTATATGGAAAGATGCAGTTCTGCATGAACGACCAATACTAATATTTTTAAAACTGGTTTTTGTAACTTGACTTTAAAGGAGTCCCAGAAAGTGTAAGACCAGCCTTGAGGAAGAGACAAATGTGAGGACTTTATTGCTGCAATAGTAGGAAATGCTTCTAATTTCAGCTTATGTGTACATTATCTCAGGTTGGTCTTATTTTTGAACTTTCTGAAAGGTGAAGTGGGAAAAGGGCCAGTTATACAACAGCATGTATATTTTTAAATCCTAAGCTGTTTTCTACTTGGTCAATCTTTTTTGTCTCAGGTTTTAAGTTGTTGTAGACTAAAAATGATGTTATTAGCATATAGTAATCAAAATAGTAATAAACACAGATATTTATCTTTACGCTTTGGCTACTTTTATTTCTTTTTACAAGCTCCAGAGCTCTCGTCCTCTTAAACTTCTTTGAAATGGCCCTAATGGAGCTGAATTAGGAACCTCTCTAATTATGTTAGAATCAAACTCCTGGATGAAAATGAGGTTATAAAGATATTAATCACCTTTAATAGGTTTTTTTCCTTTGCTATTATGCAGTCTTTGTTATTTTTAAATACAGTGCTCTTTCCTGACTGTTAAGTATAAATAAAATGAAGCTAATTTTATAACAGAATTGATTTTACCTAAATGTGCTGTACATCTTAGTTTTGGTGACCTGGTTTAAGGAGAAAGAAGGTGGTTGCTTTTAAATTTTATTTGAATAACTAAGATCTTCTCTAATCCTGTTTTTCCTACTTTTCTTAAATATATGCTGAACAAGAAGGATTGAAGCTCCCTTAACCTATAGTATCAGTTTAATCTTTCTAAGTGGCATAGTGCACTTTTACTCACCAAAACAATTTTCTTTTACAGGATTCTAGTACAGTCATTGAAAGATTCCCCACAATTGGTCAACTGTTGGCAAAAACTTGCTGGAATCCTTTTATCTTAGCATATGGTAAGATTCAAAGCATGTCCTCTCAAAACACAAACTTCAAATGATTAAATTATAAACCTGTCTTCTGTTTTTCTTGAAGCAACTTATTAAATGTATTCATTGCCCCATTACAAAGATGACATCCTTTATTGTTGTCAATACATGTTTGTATATGTACAGATAAACATACACACATGCAGATCTGTAGTAAAATGGAATTCCTTGTGTTAGAGGGCAGAAATTCCCCAATGATTATCATAACCTTATTTTTAATTCATCGTAAAATGGTTACAGCAGTGAAATCATTTCTTTTGTTTCACAGTTTCATATTAATTCACATACTGCTTTCCATGTGTAAAACCATTTTTCAGAGTCCGAATCCTGCATGATTCTGCCATTATTTTGGGATGACATTTTGGTTTTACACAAAGTTAAGAGGAATTTGGGGAAACTTTGGGGGAGGTGTTCTTTTACTGACCTCCTGCCTACCTGTCCAGCCTCATTTCCTGTTTAATCTTCCACAACTACACCACATGCATTATAGCCAGGTCAAATTACTAACTGCGCCTGAAGGCACATGATGTTAGGGCTTGTGACACACAATTCCTTTTGACTAGAACTCTGTTCTCATCTCTCATCCTCTTAAACTTTTGAAATCGCATTGCTGCAGCTGAGTTAGGAACCTCTCTCAGTGTGTCTATAGCCGCCAGCATTTCCCTTAATTATAACACGTACTACAGTGTTTTATAATTGTTGGTTTGCCTGTCTGATACCCTGGAAAACCAAATGCCTTTCAAAAGCAAGAAATGTGGTTCTAGGTCTCTATGTCATCCTGGGGCCTACCATAGGATGGAACAGGCACTTCTAAAGGTACACAGTTGAAGTTTATTGCTTTGATTTGACTGTAGTATTAGCTAATGTAATATTTACTTCTCATATATTTTATTCAAATATTGATTGCATAATATATCAGAATAAAAATAAAATGAATATTCCTCTTTTGATGTTTTAAAGAATTGTATAATTTCTCCTAGCCTGTTACAAGTCATTAGGAACTAGGTGGGAAAGGGACATCACATTTGGTCTTGTGAGTATACATGCCTGAGTGCACCAAATACACCCAAACTCACTTGCTCTCTCCCCACCCTGATCTATTCCTCTTCCTCTCTACTTATGCCTTTTGCTTATTCTTCCCCCTTGAGTTGATTCTTCCTCCCTCCACCCACTCAGCTTGTTCAAGTTTTAATCTGAAATGGCAAAAACACGATATAGCCATCACTGTGTTTGCCACATTTACCAGGGCCACACTTACCTGCCTTATGTTAGTATATTTCAGCTATGCCATTGTTTCTCAGACATCTTTAACCAGAAATACATTCTCTGTACAATGTGTATATATGTATATATGTGTATGTACACATACACTTACACACACAAATACTTATACATGCACACACACATTAAAGAATGCTTATTTTTATTATGTGCAGTCCATATTCACTATACTATTTTTAAAATGGTCTTCATGACCCAAAACTGATTTCACAAACCACTGATGGGTCATGACCAAAAGTTTGAAAAACATTGAGCTAGGCTGATGATACTGATAGAAGGAAAAAGGAAACTTGTTGAATTTCCTCCATAAAAGCACCACCCATCGTTAGATATTTCATGGACTGGATAATCGCTTTTTAAAAAAAAATACGATGTCCTCTAAGTGTACATGGTGCATATAAGACACATCCCTAATTTAGAATGTTAAAATGTGGGAAAGTTTGTGTTGTAGAATCGAAAAAGTAGAATGAAAGGCATTGCTCACTTTGTGTTAGGTGCTGTTCTCTGTGGATTGCATAGTGGATCTAATTGAGTTCTTTATGATGATAGTCTTAGAGGATAGGTAATTATGGATTGGAGTAAATAAGTCGCTTTTTTCAGAATAGAAAGCTAATAAGAGCCAGGATCCCACCCCTCTAAAGCTCGCTTTGGTGTTATGATCTAACGCCCATGGATGACACCATTGTGGTTGAAGTATTCCAGTGCTAGCTTTGCCACGGGGCAGCTTCACCTGAATGTATATATTCACTGGACATAAATTTACTAAGGGTTTTTTTTTTTTTCCTGTAAGCCAGGGCCTAGGAAAACATATCTCGCAATTTTTGCCCATTTTCTGGTTAGGGGAGAAGAAAGACCTGAGCAGATCAGCCAGACTCAGAGTGAGATTGGTATCCTAGAAGTCTGAACAAGGAGCCTAGGGGAAGGAGAATTTCACAGGGTAGCTCATGCTGGGGCTGACTCCTAGAGGACAGTAGATAAGATGGGGTTTTCTAAGGCAAGCCATGGAACTTGCTGGGTTTTAGATTCCTTATTTGTAAAACTGCTAGAGGCTGGACCAATTTAGCCCTATCCCTTAAACTTGCATCAGTCTGTGATCTTTTCTTAGCACCTTATCTTCATTACATTGGCCCCCTCTGACAACCAGAAACAAGTTCTCTACCTCTTTTGTTTCAATGCATGTGTTACCTTTTGAACTGCCCATTAAATTTCAGTTTCCTGTTTGAGGTACACTTTGATTCTGAGCTCATAGAAGAGACTCACAGGCACATGAATAATCAAATCTTGCCTGTATGCTGTTGTTTCACCAGTCAGGCCCTTTCTTTCAGAAAATGATATTTTCTTACAGTAAATAATATCAAAATTTCTTTTTAAATGTGGTAAAAGTAAACAGTTTTCATCAAGGAAAAAAGCATTTCTCCTATAATATTAAAAGAGAACAGGATCAGAAATAAGGATAGGGAAGGAGGAAGGATTTGGAAATGAAAAAACATCACAAAGAGAAGAGGAAAAATAGATAAAGGGAGAGAATACCTTTTATTCAGTGATGTTCTCTATATAAAATTACTGCCCTTACCTCCTTGGAATCCTTACCTCCTTGGATTCTAGCTCTGCTCTCATAATTGAGCATAACAGCTATAACCTGACTTCCTCACTATTTGCTGTCTATTGCTGTATAACAATTTGCCCGCAAACTTGGGAGTTTAAAACAGTATTTATTGTCTTAAAAAATAATAATAATAATAATGCTGCCTTCACACTATTAAACTATAGAATTAAAGTTTAAAAAATAATTTAGTTTTTATTTGAAATTTCAATTCAAGATAACAAAAAAAATAAAATTTTAGGTGGCAAATATAAGTTGGTATGTTCCTTTTCCTTTCACTCTTTTTTAGAGTCTAAATTTTCACTACGATCTGCAGTCAGTTCACTATGATCTGAGGCAGTTTCCCATCTCCTTTAAACCATCAGGCAAGATTCTCCAGTCCAAAGTCAGGGCCTCCAGGGAGGATCTTGACAGATGCCGTCCCCTGTAGTGAGTGCTGGTGACACTCATAAATAACAAGTGATGGCTTGCATCTATAAATTCCTAAAGCAAAGTAAGTTAATGAGCAGTACAGTTCAGTGTATTTCAGTTCATTGACTCTAGGTGAAGGAAGTCACCTCCTAAAAGTTGAGTGATCTCTGACTCTTTTCACTTTTTTATGAGAAAAATAAATACACTTGTTGAACTAAATGTGCAGAATCACTCAACACCTGGGAGAAACTCCCATATTTTAGATTCATTTATGTTTAAGTTCCATAAATTAACATTTCCCTTATTCATTCATTCATTCATTCATTCATTCATTTATTTATTTGGTGTTGAATGTCTGGGTTTTGAAAATGCTCCCCATCAAGTTTTGTTTTGTTTTAACACAGGAAGCTGCTTGTGTAAATATATCATTGGTTGTGTGTCACATTTACGATGTGAAGACAGAATTTCTTCTCATATTTAAAGCATAAGACATACAACAGTCACATTTTTAATCAGTGGCATTGGTTTAACCTGAAAAACCTTAAGATCATTAGAGATTATATGATTCTTGAAATAATTGATTTCAAGCAAGCCAGTGCTGTATTTGAGCTCATAAAAACTCGGAGAAAAAAAGTGAAGTCCCGCAGATAAAGTTTGTTCAGAAATGTTTGTCATTAGTAGACCGTAAGTCTGTGGATGTGTATGGGAGAAAATGGGTTTAAAAATTACTGTTAATGTCTTCTAGTGTACAGTTGAAAATGCAGAGGTAGCTTACTGTAGCTTGTATTTTCCTTATTTCTTGTTAATGAAACCCTTAGAAATGCTGTGTTTATGAGATTGTAGAAGACAGAAGAAGGTAAAGGGTGAGGTAAAGCAGAGTTTGCCACCCCAAAATATGCCTTTTGGGAGATGGATTATTTTAAGCTGGTTATTTTTAATTAACAAAAGACTGAGTTTACCTTTTCTTCAGCTACCTAAAAGAATTTAGAGAACCTGCTTCAGGAAGAAAGCTATTGTCATAGATAACTATAGTTCAGTATGAACTAAGTGTTAATAGACAGGGAGGAACTTAGCAAGGCCTGTTTAATCAAAGTCCTCTCTGTGTCCCATTGTTAAAGATGGTCCAGCAAACATTTATTTACTAAACATTTGCTTTTCTATATGCATGTGAATTGTCTTCCTGGCATTTGAAGACCCAAACCACAATCCCCACCTCCTTCTCCTTAACCCAAGATGGCATATAAGCCTTAACTGTCTGATCTCTCTTTTGTCCCATATTCTTAGGAAACCCCCATATGTACAAGTGTAATAAATTTGGTCATTTTCTCCTGTTAATCTGTCTCATATTAATTTGATTATTAGTCAAGCCAGAAGAATTTAGAAAGATAGAAGCAAAATTAATTTTACCACACCACAAGGGCATTGGATGATTCTGCAGAGGGATTGATTCCAATTGTGGATTTTCTCAGTCTCACCTCCATGGCCTTGTGATAAAGTTCATAGTTGCTTGGTTCTATTTCAGGTAATGACATCTTCAGTTTTTAGGCCTTATTTTTGCTTTTTAATCATTATAAAATTTCCAACTGTAATGGACACAGTTTCCATAATAGGACAAAGAGAATGGTTCACAGACTAGATATTCTCATCAAATATAAGAGTTCAAAGTTCAGCATTTTCATCGCATACTTGGTAAAGTTTTAAATTTTAGAGTAAAGAATTCAGAGCATGTTAAGAGGCTTCTGTTTTATCCAAACCATTTGGTGTTAAACAATCCTTATGTTGAATTTGTTTTTAACAGGTGAGAGTGTTTTGGTAAATTAGAAAATTAAAAAATTAAGTCAGAAATATTGACTACTGCCTATAACAGTAATGTGGCCTTAAAAAGGTTGAAATTACTAGGGTTTGAAATGTGAAATAAAGAACTAATCTTGAGAAAAGCCCAGTTCTCTTAGTTCTTTCCATCATTCTCTTTTGGCTTTAAAAATTGCTGCTCTAACAGAAAGGGAATTGACCACACAAGGGCTAAGCATAAGTGATCCCAAAACCACAAGAAGAAAAATCCCTACAAAGTTAAGTTTCACACGTGGCCCTGGATACTTGTTCTACAAACTTAGTAGTTTTAGATTTTCCTATAATATAATAAATATATTTCCTGTAAATATAGTATTTTAAATTTTATATACTAATTATCTTTCCTTTTTATTTGATAAAACCTACTCATTTTAGTTTTTCTTTTTGCAGATGAAAGCCAAAAATTTTTAATATGGTGCTTATGTTGTCTGATTAACAAAGAACCACAGAATTCTGGAGAATTGAGACTTAACTCTTGGACACGGGTAAGAGTAAATTTTGCCCTGCACTGCTCTGAATAAAATTGATTGTTTAAAGGTGCTGCTTTGACAGTCCAGTTCTAGGATGTTATAGAAACTTTTTCACACATACCCTTCGCTGTTAGATTATCTTGCTGAGTATAAAGTTATTCAAGAGGTTTTATTTTTGTTTGTGAATTCCATAAGACATCGGTCTTTAGGGTGAACTTTCCCATGCCTACAAGACCTAATGTTGAGTGGTTTTGAAAAGTTACTTTCATGTAATTAAAAGAATGTACTCTATTTCCTTCTAGCAGTTGCTATCTTTCAAAAAATTATTTCTCCCTACCAACCTAGTTTAAATAATGTAATACATAATTCCTCTCCAGGTACCTCTCTTGCCTCTCTCAGAATCTGTTCTGTAATAAAACTGAAATTCCAAAGTTCCCTGGGAACAGCAGTCTTTATTTTGTGTCCTCAAGTTGGTACTCAGGCCAGTTTGCTCAGACTGGCACCTGGTGTTAGTTGGCTACAGCTGCTCACATCCTAAAATCGGTTACCCAGCTCTGCTAGTCCAGATAGCTGACAGCTTCCT